AGGATTCTTTATCTTTGTTCTTGCCAAAAATAAAAAAAAAATAAAAAAAAACAAGAGAAAAGAAAGAGAAAAAAAAAAAAAGAAGAAGAGGAGGGAAAAGACTAAGTCTCTTTAAAAAAAATCCAACGGAGGGGGGAATGGAGAGCAAAGCAGAGCTTCTAGCAGAAAGAAGAGCTACTGCCACTAATCAGGGCTCTTGTGACTAGCTCAAACTTTCCATCTTGATATTTTCAAAATCGCTTTCAACTCCACTTTCTTGTTTATAGTTACGGATGGCACCTGTATAAACATGCACACCCCACTATCTTTTTAGAAAGCACAGGGTCCTTGAGCATGCGTCACAATAGAAGAAAAAAAGCACTATGTTGAGCCTCTAGACGGTAGTGTAACTTTCTTTCATTTACTTTCTCTTAACTCCACTTTGGGTACTGTGAGTGCCCTTTCCACATACTCCTTTACAATTCTTTAATTAAATTTAATTCAATAACCATATGGACAAGGATGGACAAAGTTTCCAAATGCTCTGCATTTTTTAAGAAAACCAACCTAATTTGCTTTCCCCGGGAGAAAAAATCTGATTTGGAATATAGTTATTCTTCATAGCGGACACTTTTCCAAGCTTTGTGCTGAAATGTTCAGCTTTAAAAATGTATTAAAATATGTACATGGGGGAAAGTTGCATACAAATAAAGTCCGCACACAAATATTTTCCCCTATATGTGAGCATGCATATCTCTGTGTTTTAATTTTGAGAAATTGGATAAAAATTGCCATTAGAAAAAGAAGTGTTGAACTCACCATATTAACAATTGCCAAAAAACACACTTGTGACATCTCAGCAAAAGAGGCATTCACTAGTAAAGATATCTAAACTAAAGAGGCCTTTGCAAGTTCAATGTCTGATGGTACAGGATTTGAATTTGCATGAAAAGCAATGCTCATACTGATGGACACACAAAGGCTTCCTTAGTACAGATGGACAGATGCTTCTGTTAAAAATACTTTGCAGATGCTACCCCAAGAAAGAGGGGCTTATTTTAGCCACTTGTGTGATGAATTTGACACTGAAGAGGGATAGATTTATGAACTAGCATGCACAGGGCACAGAATGATTTGTCCAGCCCTCATTATAAGACAAAATGAAATAATCCTTTGAATGTTTCGGTTTCAGGATCTTACGGTAAGCAGCAAGGCTGGTTGACATGACAGATCCCAATCTTCTTGTCAGTGGCAGGACAGGTCTTTCTGCAAACTCCGTTATGTTTAATGCACGTTCTTGAATTCAGTATTCTTTCTCCTTCCCCTGGAGATGGAAGAGAACCAAAAACTAATCATACACCAAAAACCACTCTTTTCATAATTTTGTGAGATGATCTGTAGATCTGTATTCCTAGGAAAAGTGTAGTTATTAAAGTGTATAGTACTAGGAAGAATGCTTGCAAAAGTGCCCCTTAGGAAAGAAAAACAGTGTTCAAAAGAATTTTGAAAGTTTTTTTTTCTAGACAAAATTTTAACCAGTATCTTAGATTCTTTAGATGAAATTTGAGGAGTTTGTTTGTTTATTTACTTTCTGATTTAAAACATTTGTGGACTGCTTCTCAGTACAACTTCTTGAAGCAGTTTACAGTAGAATTTCAACAAGATAGTAGATTAAAACAGTTTATAAAACCTACGCTAAAACACTGAATAAAATATGCAAAATAAAAGATCTGGTTGCTCATTCAATTTGATAGTTCTATATGGATTAAATAAATGTTTCTTTCTAAAGTGCCTGATGCTTCATCATGAACGTTAGTGTAGAAGCTTTCATCAAAATTGACTTACCCAGATCAGAGAGAATCACAAAGGTGAGGAAAAGGAGGACGACACACCAGGGCTTCATAGTTATGATAAGATCAAGGCAGTTGGTTAACTCTTCTCTAGCGTGATCACCAAAAGAAATGCAGAAAGTATGTTGCACTCAGTCTTTTAAATCATCATCATGGGATGTACATTCCATTACAAAGACAAAGATATTCATGACTGCAAGACAAGGCACAGTTGGATTGGTTGGTTCTTTCTGTGTAGCTTGATGATAATTGGAAGAGGTGGTTTCAAAAGGTGGGTCAAGAGTTTCCATGACTGGAGATTGATTCATTTCTATTACTAAAAGCAAGAGTGGTTTAATGGCCAAGTAAATCTTTCACCTGATAACACCCATGAGCCAGCTGTTACTTATCCTGGATAAAGATTGCCTGGCTATCATTCTTCATGACCTGTACATTTCCAGATCAAGTTATGGCATCCTTCGTCATGGAGTTGTCACTGAAGAGTATTTCCATTCATTAGTTTATTAACAAGAACACTGGAATACAGAACACTGGAAACATTGACTGCAGGACACAGTGGGGACACAACAATACTTCCATTTCATTTTCATTGGTGCGCATAATTCAAAATGCTGATGCTTGTTTTTAGCGTCTTAAACAATTATTCTTTTAAATACAGCAAGAATTGCTCTCAGCTGTGTTTATAAATTACCCTAACTGTTCTCTTGTTTATAGTACCCTAGGCAAAGGGAGAGAAAATTAATTTGACCAGCTCCCATCTGTTTCCCTTTGGATTCCAAAAACATCATGATGCTTTTCTTTTTCTTTCTTTCTTTCTTTCTTTCTTTCTTTCTTTCTTTCTTTCTTTCTTTCTTTCTTTCTTTCTTTCTTTCTTT